TCTTTCTTTCTTTTTAATGCCATCTAATTCTGAATAGTGCACAGCATCTATCCTTTCTTATCGTAACTGGGGTCCCATCTTAAACTAAACTTTAATAGAACCTGACAATAGTTTGCTTGCATTGATTTGGTTATAATTTTCAACATCCTCTGAATAGAGTAATTGTCTGGCTAAAATTGACAGCAGGGTTTTGTAAGAGTTATAAAAAGTAAATTTTAAAGCAATCAGAATAAGAATATTCATACAGCGTTTGTAGCGCTTTTGCCTTGTAAATTAACTATATGCACTGGCTCTGTTTTACAAACAGATGTATGCACCTACATGCAGGCCGTATGTATTCATGAACAAGGCTTCAGCTTAACCTGTTCACCTATATACATGAGTAAGGCTGTGCTGCCAGGCATGGAAGTCATTGCTTTCCCCGCCAAGGGAGTGGACAGAACCGCTGTCAGGTTTCCTGGCCTCCAAAGTCCTGCTGGCCCTCCAATGTGCGATAGTCTTTTGCCCCCCCAGACAGAGGAAATAGGCAGACAACAAGGTTGGATGAAATAAGGCCAACCTACTTGGAAGCCACCGAGCACGAGGCGAGCAACTGGCTGGGGGGAGAGCGGAGCAAGCCTATTAAGGCTGCCAGGCTCCGCTCCCCCTGCTGGAGCAGAAGCTCCACCGCAGCCTGTCTGCTACTCCTCCTCATGAGGAGGCAAACGCGGCCCCCACGAGGCACGCTTGGCTGTCTCGTGCGGGGCCGGATTAGAAAAGATAGACCTTAAAGAACCAATGGTCTGATTCAGTATAAAGTACCTTCCTTTGTGTGTGTGTGTGTGTACGCGCACATATGAGTGTGGTACACAGACAGAATAATTAGGTTGGAGATAAGGTGCAAGATGCCTTCCTCTGAAGCTAGAAAACCTTATGGCATCACTGTCAGGGGGGTCCTATTGATGCATTCTTCTTCCTAACTGCCATTATCTGTGTCCTGCTTTACAAAGGTTCTGGTGTCAGATCAAGGATCACATATTCCAAATAACAAATAACAAATCTTTCCTTGCCATTTCCCCTACAAATGTTTTAGTTAGAATTTGGACTTGATGGTATAGCAGATAAATCAGAGGCTGAATTAATCTCAATATTGCTGTCCATAGAGAGGAACATAGTAACTGCAAACTGGAAAAGTGAGTTACCTTTAAATATTCAATTGTGATATATTCGAATATGGTCATATTTTGTACTGTCTAAAATAACAGTGACTTTGGCAACCCCTTTTTCAAAAAATAAACTATCATAATTTTGTTAGTGTCTGGTTTCCTGTGCTATAATTTCTGTCAGAAAAAGATATTCTGCCCTCTGAACCCTGGTATAGAGATATGCTTATATAGTAAATGGTGAAACCTATGTTTACAGGTGCTTGAAGAATGGCGAGATTACAAAGATTTTTGAGATCTTATGATTTTGAATACATATTGTATTAGGTGTTTAGTACTTATTATATAGTGGAGCTGCGGTGGCTCAAGTGGTTAAGATGCTGAACTGCAGGCTGTGAAAGGTCGGTAGTTCAGCAGTTCAAGACCTGGGTGCCGCAAGACGGAGTGAGCTCCCGTCTCTAGTTCCAGCTCCTGCCAACCTAGCAGTTCGAAAGCAAGAAATTGCAAGTAGATAAATAGGTACCACTTCGGTGGGAAGGGAACAGTGTTCCGTGCGCCTTGGTGTTTAGTCAGGCCGGCCACATGACCACGGAAACATCTTCGGACAGCGCTGGCTCTTCGGCTTTGAAACGGAGATGAGCACCGCAATCCTAGAGTCGGATTCGACTGGCTTTCGAGCAAGGGAACCTTTACCTTTACCTTACTTATTATATTATTTTTATCGGATTTTTTTAGTTATTTCACATTCTTTTGAGTTTCCAGTCTTTATAACATGTAAATGTTGAATTTTTAAATATATTTGGATAATTTTTTTAGAAAGAAAACCACATGGCATCACTGGCAGGGGGCTTGTATAGATGTATTCCTTCTCCTAACTGTCATTATCTGTTTCAAATGGCTTTTGTTCCATGGGGGACTTCTATCCCCCCAACATCACATCTTCAGTCCTCACAGGTGGGTACTGATAAAAGAGGAAAGTGAAAAACCTCTACCTGTCCCATCACCTTCTGCTTGTACTTCACAACATCCAAACAATTATTTCCTGTATAGCCCAGGATATAGCACCATGCATAGCCTAGGGTACAAAACCAATAAACACAATAAACTAGAGAAGACAGTTCAGCCCAGTTTTACTAGAAGAATTTTCCTGGAGCTGGTTTGCATAAAATGTTGAAAATCAGTGAGCTTTGACAATGATGTCATGATTTCTTTGTTTCTCATGCTATAGATGAATGGATTCAGCAATGGAGGTAATATAGCATACATCACAGCACAAATTACATTCATCTCAGAAGAAGTGTCACCAGGAGGCCTCACATAGGCAAAGATTCCAGTGAAAAGAAGCAGAGACACCACAGTGAGGTGGGGAAGGCAAGTGGAGAGGGCTTTTTTGCGACCATTCACAGAAGGCATCCTGAGTACTGCTGCAAAAATCTTCACATAAGTTATAATGATGTAGATAAAACATCCTCCAAATAAGCCACAGCTAAACAGAAGAATTCCAATTTCAATTAGATATAAGTCTGAGCAGGAAAGCTTTACTAACTGTGGAACTTCACAGAAGAATTGATTGATTACATTGGAGCAGAAGGTGATGGCAAAAGTGCCACCAGTGTGCAAGGTGGCATAAAGTATACTGGAAATCCATGCACTGGCTGCCATCCGAATGCAGGCTCCTTCATGCATGATTGCCTCATATTGCAATGGATGGCAAATAGCAATATGCCGATCATGTGCCATTACTGTGAGGATGGCAAAATCTGACCCTCCAAATAGGAAGAAGCAGAAAACCTGAGCCACACAACCTGCATAAGAAATTGACCTGCTATTCATGAGGAAATTGGCCATCGCTTTAGGTAACATGACAGAAATTGAGCCAATATCCAGAATGGCCAAATTCATGAGGAAGAAGTACATGGGCATATGCAGGTGAGGATCCAGCACTACAGCAATGATGATGAGAAGATTGCCAGTGACTGCTACCAAGTATACTGCTAAGAAGACAAAGAAATATAAGATCTGTAATTCTCGAACTTCTGAAAATCCCAGCAGCAGAAATTCAGATGTGGAGGTAAGGTTAGGCATTTTTCTCTCAATATCAAATTGCAGGTTACCTGTAGGGGTGAGTAGAGGAAATATTTTAGAGAACAATCCTCAGCAGGTCTCCTCAGAATCCTATTCTGGTCATTTCAATGGGGCTTTCTCTCAGGGAAGAGTTCTTCTGACGGTACTGTAAACCTACTAATATCAGTAAATGGTTATTCGGGATTCCTTGTTTGACTGTCTCAATCCAGTAGATAACCCTGTGTTGAATGAGCAACAAATGGGACAGTTAGCACATGGGCAAACTGGACGGACAATCAGCATCTCGTTGGCAGTCCCAACCCTCTCACATTTATTCCCAACCTAAGCTTGTACAGCTTCCATGCACACAGACTCTGGATGCTTGATCTGGAACTGTACTGAATGTCATAGAGACAAATTAACTTTATCGAACTTGTGCACACATCAGTTTTGTAAATTACAGAATGAAAACTGAGGAAGGGGCAGTGGACAGTTTCCTGATCCCTTATCCACACTTTAGCTGCACACGTAACGGCTGTTATTGCACAGACAACACTGCCCCCATAATGGTGAGTTATTTGGGAGGCCCCACCCATGGAGTCCTGTAACCTGACAGACTGGACAAGGGAAACTGTTCACTAGGGTCTGCCATTTTGGTGTACAGTCTCTACCTGTAAGATCAGCACAGATACCTACCTGTAAGGAGTTAAATTAGCCATATTGTACGAGGAAATAATATACCAAACACAGCCTGCAAAGCCTTGGACCATCGTTGCCAAGGGTGTGTCTTGGATGCCCGGGAATTATTTTAACTCTTTCTGACTGATATGTCTAGATGCTGAATCCCCCTCTTAGAGCTTTCAACTGATCAGTTTCACAACAATGAAAGCAGGTACCCTGAGTCACCCAGAGGAGCAGGACTTTTATCATGTCACCACCAGCCACCCTAGTCCTTTGTCCTTTTGTTTAATTTTAACTTAATCTGATTCTGCACACCCAGAAAGTCTCTCAGCAGCCTCCCTGGTAGCTCTACCACAAACTGGATTTTATTCCAGGTCTAAATTTCATTTCTGATGGTCCTTAGGACCGATGCTATGGGCTGTGTGAATGAGATATTCCTTAATTTATATTCTGTTCTTGACAACTTGCTCCCAAGAGTTCAGCTCACTTAACTGCCAAGGGATGTTCGTCCCCTCCCCCCATATTATTCCTTCTATTTTTGTAACTAAGCTAAGTAGACAGCACAGCTGAGTGCTGGGTTTAAAACCAAATGCATCTTAGCCAAATCTATGGCTATTGTTGCATTAGACTCTTCGATTTTGCTACCACACACCCTAAAGAAAGATCCCATAACAGTTTGGGATTAGGTTTAGGTTTATTAAAAAATTTAATTGGTTCTTTTAATTTTAAATTTTATTTTTTATTATTTTTTTTGCAGACCTCCTGACTGCTTTCCAAGAGTTTTGCCAGTAGTTCGATTGCCTACATTGGTTCCAAACTCTCCTTGGTATTTTCACCATACCTTGCTTTTCTTTGCCAATACATTCAGCCTGTGCAGAAAGAGATGCTCAACCACATCCTTCCCTTCTATTCAGCATTTGAGTTCAAGGGAAGATGCTGAATACTAAGAGTGGCTCAACAGGTATGTGGACTGGTCAATCTGTAGTACCTGGATCTATCATGTCTTCCCAACCACTGATGCCTCAGAAAGGGGTCAAATGAGTGACATATTTCAAAACTGTACGGGAGCCCTTTGGCCTCTCTCATTTATACAAAAACATGTAATGCAGTATGGAAATGTTGGGAAGGGTGACACATTGGGGCCTAGATATAGACACCTAATTGTGGTCAGATTTGTTATTAATCTGTGAAAACAAGACTAATTGCTTAGACTAAACACTCACAATCTCATGCAGATCTTCCTTGAAGACTTCTGAGATTGTTTTTCTTCCTCAATTTTTATTTTAAAGAAAATTATAACTGATTTAGCTGTACTGAGAGGACATTGTTTTCCACTGTAGAAGTGACAGTGTCCTAAGAAGAAAAGGTTCTAGAGGCGCTTATCAATGCATTCTGTAGAACTGGAATAGCAACTTCACCTTTGTAGTGTTTTCAGGGTTTAATCCTCAAACCACCCTTAAAAAAATAATGTATTGGCTTATATTTGTACCCTAGGCCAAATTCCCCATGTATCTGGTGGTTAAAAAAAAAGTTCAGGATCCGAGTTTTGGCATTCACCATGGCGTTCGCTTTCTCCCGCAGCTCTGAGAAACAGCTGTCAGAGCTCACAATTAGGAGGGGGTGTGACTGTGTGTGCCACCCCTGGAGCCCTCACGTTGGGCTCCCAGACATGGGCCACTAGAGAGCCCTTCCCCCAACGACCCTGCCAGTGAAGGGGGGCTACTCCATGCCCCAAAGGTTCCGCTGTGGAGCATCCTGAATGGGAACTAGAAATTGCACACCGGAGCAAGCATTTCATGGCCAAGCAAATTGAAAACAAAAGCAGGCTTTTCGTTGAAATGTGAGTTAATGTCTAAACGAGAAACACCAAAGAACTAGCCGAAAACCTCCCATTTGAAAGCTGAATAAAAACTAATAAAACTAAGTGAACTTTGAGCTACTATGGAAAGGGGGGTGGGCTAATGAAGCAAAGTAAACAATTCCCAACATGGCGCCCATGAGGAAGGATGAGAAAGACAAGCAAGTGAAACCTAAGCTTCTTGCCGGAACTGCCAGTCTAGCGAGTTCTGTGTCTAGACAGGACACAACTACAGAGCTACAAAAGATGCTGACTGAAGCACTGTGCCCTCTGGTGGAACAAGTTACGACATTGCACCATAATTTCGATGCACAGCAGACTCAATTAACTGAGATAGTAAAAAAACCCAGAAAAAACTGAGCAAGAGCTGAACAAAGTGAATGCCAACACCAAGAAGCTCAAAAAGCAACTGCAGGTGATGGAGAAAAAGAGAATGATGGAGGAGTCTCATTTGTTACAGCTACAAATGGAAAGAGCAAGCTATGTTCTAAAATTTCAAGGTGTTCTGGAAGAGAAGGGAGAGAATCTGAAACAGACTATGTGTGAGGCTTTAGTCCCCATGGCAGATATAAAAACAGATATATTACAAAGTGAAATTGATACGATCTATAGGTCGTATTCAGATTTTACAAGAAAGAATAATCTGCCAGGCGAAGTTATGGTAAGATTCTCCAGAAGACAAGTGAGAGATCAAATTCTCAAAGCGACAAATGGATCTACCCTGAAAATCAAGGACAAAGCAATAAAAGTGTTGAAGGACATTCCGTTTGAAATAAGAAGGAACTTGGTTTTATTCCTACAGAAGAACAACATTCACTACAGATAGATTGTACCCGAAGGCACAATCTTCAAATTTATGGACAAGAAAGAAAAAATTGACTCTGTTGAAAAGGCACATAATTTTCTGCATCAACATAGTCGTCTAGTAGGAGGAGAAGAGGAAATTTGGAATACTGTGTGCAGTTCTGGGCACCACACCTTAAAAAGGATATTATAGCTTTGGAAAAAGTGCAGAAAAGGGCAACTCGAATGATAAAAGGGTTGGAACACTTTCCCTATGAGGAAAGGTTAAAGCGCTTAGGGCTCTTTAGCTTGGAGAAAAGACGACTGAGGGGTGACATGATTGAGGTTTACAAGATTATGCATGGGAAAGAGCAGGTAGAGAAAGAGTACTTTTCTCCCTTTCTCACAATACAAGAACTCGTGAACACTCCATGAAATTGCTGAGCGGTTGGGTTAGAATGGATAAAAGGAAGTACTTCTTCACCCAAAGAGTGATTAACACATGGAATTCACTGCCACAGGAAGTGGTGGAGGCTACAAGCATGGATGGCTTCAAAAGGGAATTAGATAGGCATATGGAGCAGAGGTCCATCAGTGGCTATTAGCCACAAAGTATAGATAGGGGCTCTGGAGCAAGTGATGCTCTGTCTTCTTGGTGCTTGGGGGGGTTAACAGTGGGAGGGCTTCGAATATCCTTGCCCCACTGGTGGACCTCCTGATGGCACCTGGTATTTCTGGCCACTGTGTGACATAATGTTGGACTAGATGGGCCTTTGGCCTGATCCAACATTGGCGTCCCTTATGTTCTTATGTTCTTAAGAAGAAGACAGAACCAAAGAAAGTGAAGAAGAAGGAGCAGTGGCATCTTCAGTCGAGAACTCAGACTCTAAACTGGGGGCGGCAGCCCCAAAGACAAGCTACCACTTGAGAAAGAAAAAGTATAAAATATGAGATGTTATTGCACTTTGAAATCTCTTACCATGTTTTGTTATAGTTATTACTTATTTTGCTCTTTAAGAAGTCAGATACGGTGGTGTTTAAATTTTTACTTCTGAAACCTCACCCTCTCCAGGCTCCACCCCTCAAATCTCCAGGAATTTTCCAACCTGACTTGGACCACCAGCAGCTTCTGTTGTGCTGATGTAGGAGAATGGATGGCATAAGATGCTGGACTTGTTGCTTGGATGATGTTCAATGAATGTGGACTGAATGCTGACTGATTGCTATTAGGACGATGAATGTGCTGGAGAGCGATTGAATTGTGTGATTGTCAGCCTTAGAATTATTGTATTAGCTATTGGGAAGGTTAGATTAGATATTGAATTGTTTAATGACCGTTCTGTGAACGGTTTAGATATTAGGAAATTGTTAATAACTACTCCCAGGAGTTATATGTTAGGGGTGTGGTTTTCCTGGCAGTGTAATTCTATGGCAGATTAGTCAGAAATACTGTTCATTAGGGAGCCATTAGGCTAAATTTGTACAGTAGGGAATTTGATAGTTAGTCAAAACAAGGAGTTAGTGGATTGATACAGCAGCACCAGGAGCTGAAGGTACGCCCGGCTCTAGGAGAACAACTTTCCAGTTTGCTGCCGTCGGTCTGGAGCTACAACATGGACTGGTCGATGCAGCAATGCCAGGACAACAGATTCCAGTGCTCTTTGGGAGGGGAAAGAATAGTGGTTGGTCCAGGCAGAGT